AGAGACTATAATTGAATAAGTTTGTGGGGAGCCCCAGTGAACAAATCCTTTGAATTTAAGAGTTCATTAGTCCTTTTTGTGATGAAATCACTTTGTAAGAGGCAATTTGTGCAAAGAAAGAACAAATTTTTATCTTTTGTTCTGGTAAACATCTTTTTAGCTTCCCTCTTTGTAGAAGAGGTTTCGGTGCCCTCAGAGCCCTTCCCATGGCTTAGGTTGTAAAATCTAGGAGTGCTTGGTGCTTGACTCTGATTCTACTGGTGAGCAAGGAGGCCATAGCCGCTAGGGCGTGGGTTTCCTGATCCTACCAGTTATACTCAGACTTTGTTCCCAAAATTCTAGCCCTTAGAACTTGCCGTGAGAAAAGGAGGGAAGCCTAGAGAATGTTTGCATATGTAACATAGGAAGTGTTTGCAAGATAAACGTGCTTGTATCATTTATATCAGCCCCCAAGTGAGGTCCGACCCCTCACATTTTGCTAGGGTTGGAGGTTACTAAAGATCGGGGATTTGTAAAGACAAAAACTGATAAGGAAAAGTATGCATTTATTTAAGGGTAAAAGCGACATAGCTGTTTGATGTTCCAGGCATTGGTGAAGACCTTGCCGTTGATGGTTTTCAATTTGTAGGCGTCTGGCCAGAGTACTTCTGCGACAATGTACGTCCCTTCCCAGGGTGGGGAGAGCTTGTGGCGGTCCTTGTTGCTCTGCACAAGGCGGAGAACCAGGTCCCCGACGAAGGCCCGATCCCACACCCGTCGGCTGTGGTACCGACGTAGCGCCTGCTGGTATTTGGCCGAATGGAGGAGAGCGATGTCGCGGGCTTTGTCTAGCTTGTCCATGGCATCTTCATGGGATGCCTCGACTCCTTGTTCGTCGTATGCTCTGGTTCCTGGTGCTCCATAGTCAAGATCTGTTGGAAGGACGGCCTCAGAACCGTACACCATGAAGAAAGGTGTGTAGCCGGTGGCCTGGCCAGGAGCTCGGCGACCCAACATGCGCCAAACTTGTTCAACTGGTTGAAGATTCTAGGTTTGAGGCCCTGTAGGAGCATGACGTTCGCACGCTCGACCTGCCCGTTCGTCCGGGGGTGTGCGACAGCGGCCCAATCGATTCGGATGTGTTGTTCATGACAGAATCGAATGAATTTCTTTCCGATGAACTGTGTGCCGTTATCTGTGATGATGGAGTTCGGTACTCCGAAGCGATGGATGATGTCGAAGAAGAAGAACACAGCTTGCTCGGATTTGATCATGGAGATCGGCCGAGCTTTGATCCATTTTGTGAACTTGTCTATGGTGACAAGCAGATGGGTGTAGCCCCCGGCGCCTTCTTGAGAGGTGCAACCAGATCGAGCCCCCAGACCATGAAGGTTCATGTGATGGGGATCATCTAGAGTGCTTGGGCTGGGAGGTGAGTTTGCCGAGCATAGTACTGGCACCCTTCACAGGCGCATACGATTTGCTCGGCGTCGGCAACAGTAGTGGGCCAGTAGAAGCCCTGTCGGAACGTGTTCCCAACCAAGGTTCTAGGTGTGGCATGGTGACCGCAAACCCCGCCATGGATGTCACTCAGTAAAATCTTCCCCTGTTCGACAGGGATGCAGAGCTGTAGGATTCCAGTGTGGCTTCGTTTATAGAGCTCACCTTCTACAAGAACAAAGGATTTGGCGCGACGTGCGAGCCGTTGGGCTTCCGTCTTGTCCACCGGTAGTGTGTCATGGAGGAGGTAGTCGAGGTAGAGCGTTCTCTAGTCATCCAGAGGATCGGACTCTATTGCTGGATCCTCTTCGTGTTCCATGACCTCGAGGTCGTACGGGGCCATCGGTTGGTCAGCCCTCGGGGCTGGGTTAGACAGGCCGTCATCGGCCGGTTTCGACCCCTCGTGGCACACCGAGGGCTTGTGTTGATCGCTGATGAAGACACCCGTCGGCACTGGCTCATGGCCGGACGCTGCTTTTGCAAGCGCGTCGGCCACCTCGTTGAGGCGCCTTGGGATGTGATTGAGCTCGAGACCGTCGAACTTGTTCTCCAGCCGTCGGACTTCTTGGTAGTATGCAGCCATCTTGGCATCGTGGTAGCTTGACTCCTTCATGACTTGGTTGATGACCAGCTGGGAGTCACCCCGGATGTCGAGGCGTCGGATGCCCAACTCGATGGCGATGCGTAGGCCGTTGATGAGTGCCTCATATTCGGCCACATTATTTGATGAGGGAAAATGGAGATGAACCATGTACCTCATGCGGACCCCAAGGGGTGATATAAAGACTAGCCCTGTGCCGGCGCCCTTCTTCATCAGCGACCCATCGAAGTACATTGTCCAATACTCGTGATCGGCGACCGCTGGTGGCATCTGGACCTCGGTCCATTCCACGATGAAGTCAGCCAACACCTGGGATTTGATTGCCGTTCGGGGGGCATATGTGATGCCTTGATCCATCAGCTCGAGTGCCCACTTTGCGGTTCTTCCTGTGGCGTCCTAGCTATGGACGACCTCGTCGAGGGGGAACGACGTCACGACGGTCACTGGGTGTGACTCGAAGTAATGGCGTAGCTTCCTCTTGGTGATGAGGACGGCATATAGGAGCTTTTGGATTTGGGAGTAACGGGTCTTGGAGTCGGATAGTACCTCGCTGACAAAGTACACAGGACGTTGGACCTTAAGGGCGTGTCCCTCTTCCTGCCGCTGTACTACTAGGGCGGCACTGACCACCTGTGTGGTGGCCGCTATGTATAGCAGGAGGGTTTCACCGTCGCTTGGAGGAACCAGGATTAGGGGCCCTTCCAGAAGCTGCTTGACCTCGTCAAGTGCCTCCTGGACCTCGGACGTCCACTCGAAGCGGTCGGCTTTCTTCAGAAGTCGGTAAAGGGGGAGATCTCATTCGCCGAGGCGCGAGATGAATTGACTGAGTGCGGCGAGGCATCCGGTGATTTGCTGAACCCCCTTTATGCTCTGGATTGGGCCCATCCTCGCGATGGCTGAGATTTTATCTGGGTTGGCTTCAATGCCGCGCTCAGAGACGATGAAGCCGAGCAGCATGCCCCTAAGGACCCCGAAAACACATTTTTTGGGATTGAGTTTGATGCCATTTGCTCGGAGTTTTGCAAAGGTCTGCTCAAGATCGGCAACTAGGTGGTTGGCCTGTTTGGATTTAACTATGATGTCGTCGACGTGGGCCTCAACAGTTCGCCCGATGAGGTCTCCGAAGCATTTGAGCTTACAACGCTGGTATGTAGCCCCAGCGTTCTTTAGACCGAACGGCATTGTGACGTAGCAGAACGATCCGAAGGGGGTGATGAAAGACGTCGCGAGCTGGTCAGACTCTTTCATCGTGATTTGATGGTACCCGGAGTACGCGTCAAGGAAGCAGAGGGTTTCGCACCCTGAGGTAGAGTCGATTATTTGGTCTATGCGTGGCAAAGGAAATGGATCCTTTGGGCACGCCTTGTTGAGACATGTATAATAGACACACATCCTCCATTTCCCACTCTTTTTCGCACAAGAACGGGATTAGCTAACTAATCTGGGTGGTATACTTCCTTGATGAACCCGGCGGCCAATAGTTTTGCTATCTCTTCGCCGATGGTCCTACGCTTCTTCTCGTATAATTGTACTGATCCCCGAAGGTGACGGGCAGATCGATCTATCCCAGTGGCACGGCCTGTTTGCTAGGCACGACTCCATGGAAAGGCGCTCGGATGGGGTGGAGGTTTGTCTGGTCGACGCCCATCTCGTTGAGCATCTTGGCATACATGATGTTGAGTCCACTGCCTCCGTCCATCAGTACTTTAATGAGTCGCTTCGAGCTGACGATCCGATCGACAACAAGCGGTACCTTCCCGGGTGTGGGACGGCATCTAGATGGTCGGTGCGGTCGAAGGTTATGGCAGATTCCGACCACCAGAGGAAGGCAGGTGTGGCCGGTCCGGTCGTATAGACCTCGTGGCACGCGACCTTTTGGCGGCGTTTGGAGTCGTAGGCCGTTGATCCTCCGAAGATCATGAGGGCGCCATTCAGCGTTGGGAAGGCGTCGTCTTTCTCCTCGGCATCGTCTGTAGTGGGGGGCGGATCCTTCCCATGCTCCCCTTTGTTGGAGTCTCCGGACAAGAATTTGTGGATGAGGCCACAATCTTTGTATAGATGCTTGACTAGGAAAGCATGGTTTGGGCATGGCCCCTCGAGCATTTTTTCGAAGTGGTTCGGAGTGCCCTCCGTGGGCTTCCGGCCACCCTTGCGGTCGGCAGTGGCCACGAGCGAGTCCTCACGCCACTGCTTTTTGTTCTTCCTTTTGGCGGAGCGGTTGGAGGGGCCTTTGCCGGCGCCCTCGTCCTGCCTTGCCTTGCCGTTAGAACGGTCGAAGATTGCTCTG